GTTTTCCATCTCGATCGGCTTTGTCTGAGTTACAATGAAATACTTTAACAATCACTCGTCAGCTTTGAAGCCTGTCATCACTACTGCTGTTTTCGAACCTGATCGAAAGTGTTCTTTGCTAATTTCATTTAGCAGAGGGAAAGGTGGCAAGAAACGTACTTAGGTGGGAAAATATTATAAAATATCATTTAGCATCTAGTATTTTCCAAATCTCTGAGGTAATTATAAAATATTATGTTAACTTAAAAAAACTGAGCTACTATTGATATTTGAAATCAAAAATAGTACTATTACCATCAAATATATCGTATAATTGGTTACCATTAGCTCCTGCCACCCACTCCACGCAGGAACAGCTGAGCCGAGGGGGCTCACGTAATCTTGGCGCTGCCGCAGCGGCCACCTCAAGGAGCCGTCTAGCTACTGAAGCGTAGTAATACACCGGAGGCAACTTCCGAGCTAACCATCATAAATATGTGGCTTTAAAGGTTCAACCGTCGACGTGGGTTCCGCAGCATTAAGAGCTATGGTGAGGGTGGATCAGCTGTGGACGCCTCGATCAGCGACCTGCACCGAAAACTAAAGGAATACGAACTACTAAACATTTTAAACATGAACGAGGCCGCTTTGTTCTCCATGCGAACCCTCACTAGAAAGAGCATATCCGGAGTCGCTACGGCAACCGTAAATCTGAGACATGTTGGGTCGCTATATATGTTTTTGGTTGCATTAAGCGTTTTTAAAAATTACCAGGCGTAATTTAAATATTTTTCAAAACGTACTCATTAAGTACGAACGACTCGAGCCGCTCATTTCCAAAACGGCATTAGAAGCAAACGGGGATGCAGAAGACTGGAAACAGAAACGCGCGACCGACACACACCGTACGCAAATTTCGCCAATACTGCTAAAAATAAGGTTGCTGATTGATGGCAACTCGCATGTCTGTCTTAAATATGATGGTCCATTACCAAAGCAACGGAAGCTGGAAACGCTGAGCGAACCATCCAACGGAGGGGATAGGGGGCATGATGAAAACGTTGGTAAATACTATCCAGGGATGCGTGCGAGTGCGCACCTAGAAGAGGTGCAGCCACTGGTCAGATAACGAGGCAAGATTAAGAATACGGTGCCGTCATTTTCGTCTGGTCCACTGGAGTCGTGGAGTGTTTGAGCGTGAATTTAAGAAGTACAAGGCGAAGTACAACCTGAAGTTTCGTGTGCGGAGCTCTGAAAAGACGGATCTTTACAACAAGTTCGCGGTTTGCTATTTGTATTTGTTAATTCTATCTTTTGGCATTTTGTATTGAGCGTGCTCGTGTTTCTTGTTAATTTACAGGGTGCATGATGATCAAATGTCTACTGCTTTTGAGTGGACGTACATAGCCTATCGTTGTGCACATGGTGTTTCACAAGAATCTCGATCTTAGGGTCATCGTAACTGCAAATCACGATGCTGCGGATGCCAAGCGCGGTTAACTGCCGCCGTAACACGGGTAGTGGGCAACACGTATGCGATTGTCAAACGAAACGATGTACGAGAAAAAGCGAGGCTCACCAATCTGTTTGCCTTATAACGCTAACTTTCTCATGGACTTGATGTTAAGAACCATACGCACACGCACCCTACCTCCCAGACTGAAGCTTCATCGTATCTCACAACAAAGACGCTGCCACTCGATGACCAAGATATCGAGGACGTGAAGACTTTGGCTGATGCCCGCGTGTCCTCTGCACACATTACAAATTTCCTGAATAATCGCATCGGTGCGTTGTGGAAAATGGTAATAGCCTATCGATAGTATGGTGCTAATTCTTTTCTGTTTGAGATGTATAGGCTGCAAAGTGACACCACAGCAGACACGAAGCCTCATACGCAGCATCATGGGGCCGAACACAGGCGAAGATCGAATGAAATACATGTTGCAGGCTCTTCGCCAACTTGAAGGGAGTGATGTCCTCGTCATTCAGGACCAGATGGAGGTCACTTGCGGCATCGTCATGCAGACAAAGGTTCAGACATTAACATTTGAGCGATGGGGCGAGCCGTTAGCGATAAACTTCAGGCATGGGACTAACAACCTCGGGTATCACTTAGGTACGTTGGACCTGGTACCTTGCTCTTTAAGCAACCCTTAAAGCAACCCTTACAGCAACCCATTGTGTTCATAAAGCAACCTTACTGATTAGCCTGGATGTGTGTTTGGTGCTCGAAACAATTGTAGCTTCGGTTGAGGGTGCATTTGGATTATCATCACTTACGTGGGCCGCGGGATGGCCTACCACACCGCGAATTTTAGTTGGAGAAGTCATGCTGATCGTCAATCCTGTAGATTTGAAAGCGAACCACTAGGGCATTGTTATCATCATTCTGAAAACTACAAAAACACGACGCGGCTACACGTCTACGTGTACGAGCCTCTGATTGATGAAGGGTATCGCAGTGCGATGGAAAAAGTCTGGGTAGGAATACCAAAAACCAAAATTACGAGAGCGGTGAAGAAAGGGAAGGCCTACGTGGGTTTGTGCTACGGTGGCATAAAGCCTCGATGGTCGAACGGAAGCTTATTATTGATCCGATTGAATGGATTGAAGCTCAGCAACAACCTGACGGAGCTAGTTGTGGTGTCTTAGTAGTCGCACAAGCTCACAACTATCTCTTTGGGAATGTGGAGCAGCAGAACTACGGGGTATCTAATCGTGACATCAAGGTAACGCGGTTGGGGATGCTGTGGGTTATCATGAACCTAAATAAAGAGAATATCTTGAGCAGCTCCGATGCACTTAAGACCAAGAAGATTCAACAAAAGCTAGAAGACGAGCTCAAATAGGTAGCTCGACTCAAAATTGTTGATGACTTAATACAGCCTGTCATACTTTTCTCCTGACCTGTTACACTAGCGCTTCAGTCTGTTGATGATCATCTCCAGCAGAACCTCGAATGTCATCACGTCATGGGCATTTAGAGCAGTACCTTCGCCATCGAACGTCGTTGCCAACTCGTAATTGCGCTCTTCGCTTTCTTCAACCCGCGACTGAAAGTCCTGTCGAAGTCTTAGTAGCTGTTCCAGGCTTGTGGTCATACTCTCCAGCTTTGACTTCATGTCCGCAAGCTCGTTGATCCTCGCGCGTAGCAGCGCCCGGGCTAGAGATCTCTCGTCCAAGGATGGAGTGGGTCTGTTGTTCTGTTGCATCTGAAAATCATGAATTGCTCACGATGTGGGACACACAATTTTGTGTTTTAGATGTGTGACGTCTGAATTTGATCTCTAAATCTAGAGCGAAGGTCCCGTTATTTAAACGGACGTAGGTGTCATTTATAATAAATTACCCAGAATTGGCGATTGCTTTAGGCAATAAGGTTGCTCTAATTCTTGTCGTAGCGTTGTATTAAGGTTGCTGTAACGCCATCCGGCAAAGACGGACAAAACACGGACGATAACTGCATTTTACGTGCAGCGCAGACGGTTGCCTCCACTATATATTGGCAAAAAACACTAGTGGGATTAAAATAGGATACTGCAGAGCATACGTGCTGCACAATAGTGACTATCCCATAGTTAACTACCTCAGAACAGTCATTTCTGGTTAATTTTTGTATTCCTTATAACGAATACTATCTTAGGTGCCCGATTTTTTATTTCTGTCGGAGGGTATTCTAAGAGAAGGGATTACTACCGAAGGGCTCATCTGTAAAATGCATTTCGGTGCTGTCCTCGCCGTTTTCACCGGGACAATACCGGTATTAAAAGTGTTTTGTGTCCCGGTACTGAACGAGTCGACTTTGGCTCTCGTTGCTGCGCCCAACTGAAAAAGTACCATCTTATTGAAGGCAATTTTAAGGGTTAATTATTAACTTAACATTGTAAAATGCACCTCCCTTACCATCCTAAAAAAACGAGGACCTTACATCTTTCGATTTGCTCCGCTTCACGTCGAAAGGCAATAAAAAGATTCTCTCACCTGGAGAGTGCAATGCTCGGCTCGCTGGAAAGATCGGTGCTGGGCCCGCCTCCGCAAATACCGCACGGCCCTGCTTCGCGGGCACCCCGCGCTGCGGCTACGCGACCTCGCATCCGCTCGCCAGGCGACCTCAGTGGGTCTTCTCCGTTTTGATTTGCACGCTTTTTCACTCCCTACATGTCAGCTCGATAGACTTTTGAGAGCAGAAGCAACAGCCTGTTACTAACAGGCGGGAACGAAAAGATGAAACGTTTATTCACTTGCACATCGACACATTACAGCCCAGCCTGCGTTGAGGAAATTTACAGATCATCTCATCCTCTCATCAATGATACCCGACAGCTTCTATTTTTTCTTTAAATAGAATCTGTACGAGACTTAGTCCCAGTCAAACACTATTGAGCAAATATTTCGAGATTGTATACATGTACGCTTCACACCCATAGTTTATAAAAAAGCGAATGCACAAGCAGTCACTATTCCTCTCGTTTGTCCAGGAAATGTGTTTCCTCTTGCTAATGATAGAATCTAAGGACCCCCTCCGTTATGATATACGATGATGATGCTTTAGGATACAGACATCTGTGGTTATCTGTGCTTCTGCTCGTACTACATGTATTAGTACCGGCACGCTCGAAAATCGAAAGACTCAGATGGGTATGGCTAGCGTGCATGATAATCGCCAGGCCAGCTCACTTCAGTCAATTATATCTAAGGGGGCAATGAAGCAGCATACATCCCACCAGCGCGACATTGACCGACCGTGACCCATTGCTTTCCAGCTCCTTAAATATGTACTTGTAGCCTGTTCTGAAAACATACATTGTACTCTCATGATATCTCCCTACCTCATGTAGCTTCTCGTCGAGTCTTCTATGTTAGTATATCACTCTTTGCGGTATTATAATTAAGAGGATTATCTGTATTTGGTACACGCACGTACATAATATGATTACAGTTTCGAGCATAAATAGTAGACCATGTGTTGTCCGTTGTGATCCCGAACAAAGTCACATTAGTTCGAGTTTCGGAGACCAATGGCCAGGCGTCTCTGCGTATTGTTAGGCGCCACGATAACTCTCGTAAATATAGCAGCCGCCTTATCGCTTGCTGCTTCGGTTGCTCTAAACGACAAGAATATCGACACGAACAGACGATCCCTACGGGTTGCGCAGCGCGACGAAGCGAGAACGGTCGCTTCAGTTGAGACAGTGACGGCTTTGGTCAAAAGTAAGAGCCTGATAAACGATCTCGCGGACACGTTGCCGTCCAAACTGGCAGAACTGGAGAAGAAGTACCCGATCGTGATCCCTGGAGTATCGGAGGCGTTCATTAAAGCGCGGTTGAAGTATGCGTATTGGTACGGAGTTCCTCCCACGAAAATATTCAAATTTCTGGGACTTCGAGGACATTCGGAAGCCCGACTCCACGACCACCCGTTCTTCAAATTCTACCAAGAATATGCTCGGAAATGGGGAAAGTCACAGGAGTATCTTAGCATCGCTTGGTAAGCTGGGAGGGGGGGGGGTATGTAGCCCCAGTGTACAAGTAACAACAGCTCATTAAGCATTGAACGGAGATGACGATCAACTAACTGGACGCCGAGACTTCGTAGGGACGAAGAGCAGCCTTATGCAAGCGATCGACTGTGGGGATTATTGACTGCGAGCAGAGACTTGAAGAAGAACTACTGCTGGCTGTAAATTGGTCTCCAAGCACTAGTCTGGACAAATGCTCTACTGAGCACCGGGATGGATTGATATAACGGTAACATTGGCGTCTACGCTTCACATAGTGACTGCAGCGATCGATACTTCGATGATTTACAGCTTCGAGAAGCACAGATACTACTCTGTTCCATCTCAAATCTAACGCAACGAGCGACCGCACAAAAATAAATGATATCATTGGCTATTATTAGGCTAAGAATAGAGATTTGCTATTTTTTTAATTTGTGGCTACCTCCGTTCTGAAAAAGATAACCATTTGTTTTTTTATAGAGCTAAGGCAGGGCTTTCCGTAGTGGGCTCGTTTAGCTAAATCACATCATTAGTTTAATAAATATGTCAGCAAAGGAGAAGTGTTAGATTTGAGATGGAACAGAGTGGTATTATTTATTGGACATATCGAGCTTTTGTTCGTCGCTGCGACGTCGACTGATTGACTCATATGCCAATAGCGCTATGAAGAAATTGGAATGCACATGAACGTCGAGCTGCAAAAAATTGAGCGCTGTGGAATCCAGTAATTTTGATGCTTTTACATAGGAAGACTTTCTGAACACAAATATATCACCCGCTTATGGTATTCTTTTTCAAAAGACCCCCCACACGCACACCCACCAAGGCTGGATGACACGATGGACTGAATTCTCGACCCGGACAGTCTTCGAGAGATATAATCAAATTAGAAAAAAAAACTGATGCAACGAACATTTTAAATGTCTGCATGTGAATTGTTTTAATATACATTTTAAGTGTATTATTTTGACTGTGTTAAATTAATGTATATTCCAGTATTAATAATATCTTTCACAGTCTGAGGCCTTCATGTAGAAACGAAGCATGACCACGTGATCAACATTAGCGGAAGAATTAAGACCCACGCCGCAGAATCAGACTAAGCTGCATACTGTCAAACAATACATCATCCGCTAAGCGTTTCTGCTTCTTACCGACACATGACCACCTCGCTGGTATTCTTCATGTAGGCTGTAGGGAGTAGGACTCATATGGTAAACACATTGTCGAGCCATAAATTAAAGCCTTATGGACATCTGTACGGACCCGATAAGGTCACGTTGAAGGCTGGTAAACAATCAAATGACGCCTCAAACGAACTAATATTGGCAGGTTTAACCTAACAAGGTTTTTACATGTAGTAGTTCGGAGCTAAAGTGTTCTCGATTTAGGTAGTGACGGACTGTGTGATGCTGCATATAGACACGATGTCTGCCTCATCACATTTAATGCTGCTTTTAATGGCCCCAAATACTTGCATATGTTGGCCGTATTCCGTCGACATCTTATACTGAATATGTCGTATACATGGACTACCCATCCTTTACTTCGCTACAGTGTAAGACCCCAGAGGTAACAAGTTGCCATTCAAGTTTTTTTCCACCGACACCAACATGATGAAAGACGGGTTAAGTATCACGCCGTTCCCAGACTTGCGAGTATCTACCCTCGAACGACAAGAAATGATCGAGCTTGTCGACACGTACGTGGAGGACTACATCGATAAGTACAAAGACTTTGTCGTCAACGACAAGTGCAAAGTGAACAAACGACGTTGGCAACATGTCAAGTCCAGAGATAAGCTACACATCTATGCTAAGCGCACTCCTAAAGGTCTCGGTCGAAGGAGCTCAGTACTACGTAGATCCAGTCAACGCAGCACAACCGCGAGAGACCTGTCGGTTCTCCTTGGCGTTGGAACATTCGCCGGAGAGCTTGAAGACCTCATGTTTGGTGTCATGAGCCCCACACTGGACTCGATGCGTATCAAGGCTTCGTACGTACATGACTTCGACAACGCTGCTGTGTTGTGTTCGGTAGTGGAACCGAGCAAGGAAGAGCCATTCCAGTCGCTCGTGATCAAATGGATGTCTATTGATCCTCCCCTACAGTCAGCTAAACTTTCCAAGAGCCGAGATTTCGTCTTCATCGAGGCAACAGGAATAGTGGAATTTGACGACGGAGACTGTGTCGGGTATCATTTCTTACACTCCGTCGACTTCCCACAGACAGGACCGTTGCCTCATAAAATACGCGGGAACTTATCGGCTTTCAGTTGTTTCAGACAAGTTGGTGTCAACACGATCGGCAATTTTGCGTGTGCGACAGTGGACCCTGGAGGCGACGCTATTCGCTTCCTCTTGACGTCGGTTGTGGCGGATTTTCTTCTCTCCGCTACGAATTATGTGTACTGTGGACAGATGAAGAAGTTGGCGTGGTTACTGCAACATCGACGTGCTGTCTTTCGGCGCTCGACGAAAGAACGGAGCAGGAAACAGTGTGTTGTGTGCAGGAAGAATACCGGTAATGTCATTGGAAGCATTGGCCGGAAAGTGTGCAAGTTGTGCGGCGGGGAAGTGTGTTTATCGTGTAAAATCCATCAGCGTCTCAGTTTTCTCTCGATAAGTGGCGAGTTGATCCAGCGAAAAGTTGTTTTCTGCGGGATGTGTGTTAGTGCGTCGACATACATGGATGTGTGGGAGCCTGCTACTCACGAAGCCAAAGATTATGATGCATGCTCGACTTTCACAACGTTCACGGCGTCTTCCACGTATACTTTCCTTGAATCCTTAACGCCATCTTTTGATGGAATAGAGCTGTAAGTATAAGAACAAGAAAGTGATCCTCACACTCTGACATTTTCTGAAAAAGCTGTTTTTCCCCTCTGTTTGATTGTATGGCAAAAATCGCAAAGACGGATTTGCACAGAATTCGTCAGACAAGTGTCAAACTACTATTATCCCTTCTACCACACTAACTAAGCATCATGCATATACGTGTCCACAAGCCATTGTGCTAGCCAATTTGGTTATCACAGTAGTTTGTGGACGCCTTCCGGCAGTCGTCCTCCATGGCCTAAAGAGCTTAGCGGCGGGCAGTGCCAGTGCGTCGCGCTGTCATCGGCGCACTTTGCTGCTATGAAGAGCAACTATCAGCTTTATGTGCTGTGTTATAGGTATTAAATAGCGTACTGATCTCTTAGACGTCTCGTACGTGCATATTGAGTTGTCAGTCATAGTTTTTTAATGTACGAGCATTTGTGTCGACTTATAAGAGCTATTTGTGACACATTGAATGAACATGAATAACACTAACGAACTGTCTAACAACAATACAAAATAACAGACCGGCAGAAGTCTTAAGTTGGGCTCATATTCACCGTTAATGCCAGCAAGACACGACAAGCATGTCCCAACTCAAACACGGGCTGTATGACGTTCTCTAGGTAAAACTATCAATTTTCATGAAAATATCGTTGACTGACGAATGTCCGACGAATTCCGTCTAAGAATAACTTATTTTTTCGAGTACAGTAGCAAGTACGTCTTAAACGAGTCCTTTTTGTCTTAAATTTAACCAACATGATATCCTTCACGCACCACCGCTCAGTAAATTATCGCAGCTTACGTTGTCTTGGAAAAAATGTTAATTTTATGATTGATAATTTACGACAAAGCTGAAGCTAATTTACGACTCAACTCCGGCCGTAGACAGCGTGTTCTCACGGAGAGGAGGTAAATGCAGGCATCCCTCTAAAAATGGAAGTTTTAATTTCTTGAGAGACCGTAACCCGTGCTTTTACGTCTCCCATCTCCTGTATATAAAGCAGAGGGGAAACACACATAGCACACCAATCAGTGTCGTTTTACATGACGAAGCCGTTTCATTTAATATTTGTAAGGAACAGATGTTTGACGTAAGGATAGGCGTATAATTTCTTAACAGGTTTCAGACGACAATGTCGTAAGGCATACAGCTTTAGATGCGTTTTGATGAGATCCTATATCGTAGTGGACGACGTTATTGATGGATCCGTTTGGAAAGAGGGGCACTTCCGTAACGAATATGTTGCATAGTAAAGCCCGTCACCTGAAAAAAAAAGGCAAAGCGAAGGCACGTTGATTTAAGAGAGTGTCTATATTGACCGACTGAGTTAACCTTCCCCTACAAATTTTTGACGCGCTCCCATCCGTACGATGTATACAGTGTGTACCATGTATACCATTCAGCCTGACAGCCACTAAATTTCGAACAGCGTAACGATCGTAAGGCTGCAGGAGGGGGAAATGGATCTCCGCGTCCGAGCCGTCCAGAAGAGGCCGCTAACTGGGGCTGTCGCGCGCGAGATCGACGAGAGCGACAGCAGCGATTCTGAGCCGCCCCGAGAAGACTCCCAGGACGACGTCTGGCTCCCAACACCCGCTGCGAGCGGTGCTGGTTCGGGTGATGGAGAGTCTTCCGAGGCTTTCAGTGTGTCGGATGTAACCGATTTAACCAGCAGCACTAGCGAGGGTGGTCCCCCCGCACGCGTGGTGGCATTACCACCCAACACGGTGGAGTTCGCCTCGTGGGAGGCCTTCGACGAGTACCTGGCTGCGTATGAAGCCCAAACGTTTCAAGTATGCGAGATTCATTCAAGATTTAATGAACGGATGTCTGACCCCGCTGTCCCACTAATTTTGTGCTATCTGTCTTGTAGATATTCAGGGCGCGCTCTAATACCAGCGTGGCAGAGCGCAATGCCAGGATTGACAAGTCACAGTCAAAAGCAGCTAAAATACCAGCATCGTGGGAACAGTATTCGAGGACGTTCGTTTGTACGCACTCAGGGAAGTACAAGTCTGTAGCTACGAAGCGGCCACGCCAAGAGACTCGAGCACAGGGCTGCAAGGCGCAGGTACATATATGTCGGCCTGGTCGGGTCCAGTCGGGGTCATTCGGGTAGTTCACTGACTGACAGTGGTTATATATGCCCTACAGATTAATGTCTGCGTCCAGGTAGTTGATACAAAGAATACGACGTTTGCTGTGCGGATCACTCGTTGCCGACTAGAGCACAATCATCGTCTGACAAGCCTGGCTTTCTCTTCACATCCATCGAAACGCATTATCCTCGACGAGTCAACGCTAACTACAGTTGATCTACTTCGAAAAAAAGGTGTCAAGAAGTCTGGTATCATCAGCCACCTAATGAAGCACACCGACAGTAACCCCACCCCAAAAGATGTGCAAAACCTCGTCCAGAAACTAAAGGCTCGCGAACAACGCGATGGGCCTTCAAGAACTGACAAGCGGCTTAAGAAGTGGATGAAGCAATTTGGTGATGTGCCAGGGAACGTTGGTCGGGTTTTCTTGGACGACGTTGGTGGCAAGGTAGAGTGAATGCTTTTATCCGGTCTAATGTCAATTCATGAAGTTAACATTTGTTGTTTTGTGTGCTATTGGATACGCAGAAAGTTGCGACTTGCATCACATTGCAAACAAAGCACATGCGAACACTATTCGACCAATTTCCTGAAGTTCTGATGATTGACGCAACGCACGGGACGAACCGGTCTAAGTATAAAGTTTTTTCATTGATGGCACACGATACGTTCGGCAAGGGCCAGTTTGTGCAGCACGCGCTGCTTCAAAATGAGCGCTATGAAACCCTGTTGACAGCGATAGAGGAATTCAAAGCGAACAATCCTGCGTGGTCAAGACTTCAATGTGTGCTGGTGGATAAGGATTTCACAGAACTTTCCGTACTTGAAAAGGCATTTCCTGGGGTGACAGTCTTACTTTGCCAATTCCACGTGCTGAAGTACCTACGGGAAGAGATTGCTTCAGCTGACTATGGATTTTCGAGGTCTCAGAAAGAGCAACTGGGCGGTGTTGTGAGCTTACTTGTCTACGCAAAAACGGAAGCAGAGTACGACAAACGCTTCCAGTACATGGTGCATCTTGCGTCGATTGGTTATGCCGGTCCAGTTGCGAATGATCGATCTGGTATCGTAATCGGTGTGGAGTCGGGCTCAGTCGGTGTGGAGTCGGGCTCAGTCGGTGTGGAGTCGGGCTCAGTCGGTGTGGAGTCGGGCTCAGTCGGTGTAGAAGTCACAGATCATGAACTGGAAGATATTTCTTCTCGCATTGATGAACATCCTTTTGTGAAGTACTTTCGAAAGAATTGGGACAGCTGTCGTGAGCTCTGGTGTGCACATAGGCGCCAGAATACCGTCACACTCGGCAATAATACCAACAATCGCCTAGAAGCCTCTTGGAAGCAGCTTAAAGAGTGGGTGGATTCGTTTATGGGAGTGGATGAGTGCATCGCTTCGACCATGTACTATCAAACGTTACAAGAGCGATTGTTCATTGCAGAAGTATACAAGAATGTGACCGTCCAGCATCCTGATTACGACAGCGAGATGACACTGGTGGCGAATATTGTCAGTGAGCATGCTTGTGAACTTATATTCGGGCAGTATTCGTATGCTATTGGATCTGCGTCGTACACGTTTTATGAGGGGTGCCCAGACGTGTATTTTATCAAGAGTATATCTACAGCTGATGACGCGCTGGACGAGATGAACGCCGAGTATTCAGTTACTAAGCGCGAATGGAAGTGCTCCTGTCTATTCATGTGCACGAGATTGCTACCCTGTCGACACGTTTTCTACCTCCGAAAGGCTCTTGGTCAGGAGACAGTCATCCCCACACTACTGTTAAACAGGCGGTGGCTGTTGTCTACTGTGCGTGCGGCGATTGAAAATTCAAGTGTCGTCTCTGATACAGCGGAGCCAAAGTCTTTTGAGGTAAAAAATGTGATATCCTCACAGGCGAGACCGTGGGACTCGAACCGCAAATATCGTGAAGCACTGCAATTTGCATCCCAAATTTGTGACACCATGGCGGGACTCGGCATGACGCAGTATAAAGAAGCGATGCTGTATCTTCAAAGTGTGACTGGGCGGTTCAAGAGAGGCAAATTCGAGGATCCCGGTGTGCCAATTTTACCACCAGCTGAAATTGAGCGTCACGGTTCGACTAGCAACTCGCGCGATGATGCGCTGTCGCCGCCACTACTTACTGGTCACGATCCGACTGCACGGCCGACTCACCACGTGTCGACAGAGCTACTTACTCGTCATGCGGATACAGTAAATGTGAGTCATGTATCCCCAACTGTCTCTGAGTCTGACCATGCCACAAGCTGCAACTCCGTCGAAACAACACAGGTTGCAGATTTATCGGTCCAGTCGGTCTCGATCGGAGGCCAATCGGGCTCAATCGGGGGCATATCAGGTCCAGTCGAGGAAGAATCGGGTCCAGTCGGGGAAGAATTGGATACAGTCGGGAAAGAATTGGATACAGTCGGGGACGTTGAATTAAGCACACTACCACCAGCAGCGGAGGACACGCCATTTGTGATAGCGAGTCCTCCAAGATCGCGAGGACGACCAAGACAGACAGCCAGATCAAAGAAGACAGCTCGTAAAAAAAACTGTCATTGTAGCTCAAGAAGACTCAGAGCTGTACGCTTCGAATTTAAGCTTGGCGTCCGTGGATGCAGCGCTGTCTTCGGATGCAACATACATATCGTTAGCTGCAGTTGTGAACAAGTTCGAAATGGGGGAGTATGGCTTCAAGTTCAAGACACCTACAGCACGAACAATATCGAGCTTGCCACCCACA